TATCCATCCCCACACCCATCCTTCCATCTGTTCATCCATCCATCCATCCTCCTACCCACCCATTTTTCTGTCTGTCTGTCTGTCTGTCCTGGCTCATCACTATTGTTGTTAGGTACCACTGAATTGGTTCCAACTCATAACCACCCCATGTACAAAAGAACTGCCTGGTCCTGTACAGCCCTCACAACTGTTTCTGTGTTCGAGCCCATTGTTGCTGAGGATCTTCTTTTTTGCTGATCCTATCACTCCTCGGAAGGAAGGTTGGGCAATCCTACTTCCGTAGTGATACTGCCTCGGAAACCCAAGGAGGGGTCACTATGAGTCGGGGCCGACTCGACGGCAAAACAACATCCTTTACCGAGCATGAGGTCCTTTTCCAGGGACTGGTCCCTCCTGATAACATGTCCAAAGTACGTGAGACAAAGTCTTACCATCCTCACGTCTAAGGAGTGTTCTCGCTGTATCTCTTCCAACACGGATTTGTTCATTCTTCTGGATGTCCACGGTATATTAAATATTAACTTAGGTACATTAAATATTAATTCAAGCACATCAATTATTCTTCCATCTTCCTTATTAACTGTCCAGCTTTCACAGGCATATGAGGTGACAGAAAATACCATGGCTTGCATCAGGCACACCCTAGTCCTCAAAGGGACATCTTTTGTTTTTAACACTTTAAAGAGGTCTTTTGCAGCAGATCTGCCCAATGCAAAAGCTCATTTGATTTTCTGGACTGCAGCTTCCATGGCCATTGATTGTGGAGTCAAGTATAATGAAATCCTTAACAACTTCAATCTTTTCTCTGTTTATCATAATGTTTAAATGTTTATTGGTGCAGTTGCGAGGATTTTTGTTTTCTTTATGTTGAGGTGTAATCCATACTGAAGGCTGCTAGTCTTTGATCTTCATCAATAAGTCCTGTCTTATAGTACAATTTATTTTTAAATTAATAAAGTTCTCCCTACTTATCATCCATAAATATGGCCTGATTACTGAAAATGAAAAGCTGCAGGGGAAAGGGGCCTTTGTTGAATGCCTTCTAAGCACACATCATCTCATTTATTTCTAGTAGCTGTTTTAAAAAGATGTTATTGTCCATATTAAATGATGAGCAAATGAAGGCTTGGAGAGATTAAATAGCTTATCTGATGTCATGCAGGCAGTAAGAGAGATGGCAGGCTGTGCACCCAAACAGCTCTCATTCCATTACCCCATACCACCTCTCAATGCATCATCGTAGTCTTGTCAACTGGAAAACTGTACTCCAATTTCACCCCTATAATGAGAGCATTGGAGAAGACCAGCCAAGCATCAACTCCAAGTGGCTATTCTTACACGAGTCTGAAGAGGAGAATGGAGCAGGAAACCAATGAAGGAAAATGAAACAGGCACATCATTTATTTAAACAATTTGACCCATGGTTAACCCAATTATCTGGAAACTCATAAAACTAATCTCAAATTAATCCTGATGGTTTGTGTGGTAACCTTGGGGTAGGATATCTGTACCTGAAATCCAGGCATGGAAAAAAACAAAAAGAATAATTTATCCTCAAGACTTTCCTCATACTTTATTTTGGATTGCTTGCCCCCTTTGAGAATCTAATGAAATCTATAGGCTCTTGGCCCCAAAAAACACACCAATGTACAAACACAACATTTTTCATAAAATTTCAGGCAATTCTAGGGTCCCCTGAAGACCATCCTATGATTCAAGGTTAAGAACATTCTATGTAAGAGCATTTAAAGATTTTAAAGACTGTGCTGACTTTCTTTTGGTATTTGAAAAGGATATTTTTCATACATGGAATAATTATGTGACAGCTTAAAAGAACTCAAGGGTCAAGACTTACGAAGTCTTCTCAAATATCCCCAAATTTTTGTTACAAACAATTCTGAACAGTCCCTAGTAAGCAGCTTCACTTGACAGATGTAGAAACTGAATTTCAACAACTTATCAAGGTCCTTCCTTATCCTAGAGCTGGAAGGAATCCCAAAGATCTATGCTCACTCTGAGATGATTTTATTCAAGCCTATGGCTTTTAACACCACTTATACAACGATGACTCCCAAATTTATATCTCGACTCTCCTGAGATCCAAATTGCTTATCTATCTTTTCAACATCTCTATTTGATTCACTTAATATGTCCAAGACAGGAAGACAAATATCTTGGAGTTACCCGTGATCCTTCTGTTACCCTCATATTCCATGTACAAGTCATCAGCAGGTCTGGTCAGTCCCATCTTCAAAGTATAAGCAGAATGCACACTTCCCATTGGCTACACTGTTATTCTTGGAAGAAATAAAACCAGGATGTGCTTTAGAAGCAGGGATGGTGAGACCTTGTGTTGCTTGCCTTGAACATGTCATAAGGAAAAGGTTAACTGCCAGAAAAGGACATCATGGTTGGCAATGAAGACAGGAAGCAAAAGTGCAAGAAACCCTCAATGAGATGGACTGACGCAACAGCCAGAACAATGGACTCAAAGATACTAACGATCATGAAGATGGTGCAAGACTGAACGATGCCTCAATCTATAACACTTAGGGATGCCATGAGTAGGAGCCAATGTGACAGCAACTAATAACAACAACAACACACTGCTACCACCCTGATCCAAGCCACCACCATCTTGCCAAGACTATTCCTCCAACAGCTTCCAAGTAGTCTCTCTGCACCCATCTTTGCACCCCTATTATGGACTGAATTATGTCCCCCCAAAATATGTGTTGGAATTCTAATTCCTTTATCTATGGATGTAATTCTATTTAGAAATTGGTTTTCTTTGTTAAGTTAATGACACCATAGAACCTACAGGGTTTGCCCCAGGCCTCATCATTTCTGAGCAATATAAAGAGTGGCACAGACACAGAGATATATGTGCATACAAAGAGGAAGACAGACGCTCTCTGAGATGGAGGCAAACGATCCACAAGCCCAGAAACTCCAAGGATTGCCGGCTACTAGAAGCTGAAAATGGAGACCCTGGGTGGTGCAAATGGTTAAGCACCAGACTGCTGATTTGAAAGGCTGGTGATCCAAACCCATCTAGAGGTGCTTTGGAAGTAAGGCCTGGTAACCTGCTTCTAAAAGGTCACAGCCTTGAAAACATTATGGGGCACTTCTACTTTCTATACATGGAATGTCAGCATGAATCGGAATCAACTCACTGGCAACTAACAACAACAATGGGAACTGAAACAGACAAGGAAGGGTCTCTCCCTAGAGCCACACCCTGAATTCAGACTTCTAGCCACCTGAATAGTGAGAAAATAAATTTCTGTTCTTTAAAGCCACCCACTTGTGGTATTTCTATTACAGTAGCATTAGGTCACCGAGTCCACTCTATCAAAAAGGCAGCAGAGGGCTTTATAAAATTAAGTCATTTCAAGCCACTTCTCTGCTCAAAATATTCCCAAAACTTCCCGTCACCAAAGGAACACCTGCAGCTTTGCCATGCCCCGCACAACACAGCCCCTGCCCAGCTCTCAGACATAGCCTCATATCACACTCCCAGGAGCTCTCAGGTCCAGTCACACTTGTTTTCATGCTGTTCTTGAAACTTGCTAAGCCGGTTCCCGCCTCAGGGCCTTGGTGTTTGCTGTTCACTATGCTAGCACGTTCTTCCTGATTCTCCCATGACTTGCTCCTTCAGTGTACGCACATCTGGGTTAAAATGCCATCCTTTCCAGAGTCCTTTCTTGACCCTAATTCCCTTCTCTCTCTCTATCCCCTTAAGCAGCTGCCTTCAAGTCCATTTTGAATCACAGTGACCCCAAGTGTGTCAAGAGTAGAACTGTGTTCCACAGGATTTTCAATAGTTGATTTTTCAGTTAGACCTGAGGTGGCTCTGGGTGGACTCAAACCTCCAACCTTTTGGTTAACAGCTGAACATCAACTGTTGGCACCACCCATGAACGTCCTCTATCTCCTTACCCTGCTTTATTTTTCTCACAGCATCTATCAGTCCCTAAAACAATGTTACACATTTGTCTCTCCCACCAGATGTAAACTCCATGAAGGCAGCTTTTTGTTTGTCCTGTTCACCTCTGTTTTTGGCAACTATAACAGTCCCTGCCCATAATGGACTCTCAGTACTTATTTGCTGAATGGCCCAGACACCTCACTTTAAGCAAATAAGATCAGGGGAGGCAGTACCAAGAATTTTCCGAGAACACAAGTTCTGGGATTCAAAGCCCAGCTCTGCAAGTTACTAGCCTTGGAGATGATCAAAGGCAAATGACTCACTCTCTCAAATCTCCAGTCTCCCTATCAGAAAAATTCAGAAAAACGAGGATAATAAGAATACCCACTGAATCAAAAACCAAAAACCAAACTCACTGCCATCGAGTCAGATCCGACTCATAGCAACCCCTCCTTGGGTTTCCAAGGCAGTATCACTATGGAAGTAGATTGCCCAGTCTTCCTTCTGAGGAGTGGCTGGTGGGTTTGAAACACCAGTATTCTGGTTAGTGGTCAAAATGCCTTAGGCACTATGCCACTAGAGCTCCCAAGGAACAGGGCTGCTATAAGGAACAAATGAGACAATGGATGTAAAACATTCAGTACAATGCTTAGTACATGATAAGTGCTCCGTAAAAGATAGCTGTGACTGCTATTACAGTTGTGAAATTATTCTCCCTTGTTAGATGAGGCCACTGAGGTACAGAGAATACGGGATGACCCTAAATCAAATGGCTAATGAGTTTGGGGGTGCAGGGTAGAACTACATCCTAAGAGTACAGACCAAATAAGAGGCACAACCTGATTTGGGGCTGTAAGCTTCTATGCCCAAGATTCTCAGAGAGATTGTCTATTCTTTTCTTCTGGACCATCCCCTGTCCCCAATCCACATATCCAATATTCTTATCTAAGCCAGAAGGAGGACATCTTCTTGGAAAGGAGCAGCAACAGCACATAGAATCAATTCAATTTCACCTCAGTATTGGATGCAAACCCTGAATGTCAGGTCCACCAAGCCAAGAGTTACTTACGTAGGTCTGTTCCATACTTGAGTCCCACTTTGGGCACCCAGCCCTTGCTTCGAAAGTAATGGTAAGCCATGTACGTGGTCTTGAATGAGGGCTGAACTGCAGTGAAAGCTTTCCAGAGCTTTATTATCGTTAGAGGTTCCTAAAGTTATTTTTTAAAAAAAAATGTTCATTGTAATACTGTTCAAAATAGCCAAAAGATAGACATAGCTTAAATGTCCATCAACAGATGAGTGGATAAACGAGTTGTGGTTCATACTTACAATGGAGTATTACTCAGCCAAAAAGAGAAATGAAGTCCTGACACATGGTACAGCATGGGTGAACCTTGAAAATGTTATGCGCAGTGAAATATGTTTGACATAAAAGTACAACTAGTACAACTACTATATGATCCCACTTACATGAAACAGGCAAATATACAGACACCAAAGCTTATTTGTGATTATCAGGAGCACGAGGGAGAGGAAGGGGGAGTCATTGGTTAAGGGACACTGAGCTTCTATTAGTGGTGGTGGAGTAATTTGGAAATGGAGAGGATGATGGTTGCATAACACAACGAATATAATCAATGTCATTGAATTTTATGTGTAAAAAATGTTGAATCGGCAACTGTTTTGTTATTAAAGGCGCTCTGGTGGCACAGTGACTAAGGCACTTGATTGCTAACCAGAAGGCTGGTAGTTCAAACCCACCAGCCACTCCTTGAAGGAAGGTTGGGCAATCTACTTCCGTAGAGATACAGCCTCAGAAACCCAAGGAGGGGTCACTATGAGTCAGGTCCAAGTCGATGGCCCATAACAACAACAACATATGTTATTAAATAACCTAAAAAAAGGTGTTGTTATATATTTATCCACTCACTATTTAGTCCAAGAATCAATGTCTATTCTAGGTGTGGTGCTGTAATAGCGAATAAAACAAGGACGATACCCAGAGGGGTGGGATAACTAGAAGAGCTGGCCCTGTGCTGTCCAATGAGGCAGCCCCCAGGCCCATATGCCTTTCTGAACCAACATGTGCTGGGAGCTTAAAGTACACACTCAATTTTAAAGACTTAGTATGAAAAGAAGAATGTAAAATTTGTAAATAATTTTGGATATGCTGGGTTAAATAAAATATGGAATTAAAAAAGAAAATCTTTTAAAAGTGGTTACCAGAAAACATCAAATTACACATGTGGTATTCTATTGGACAGAACTGCTTGAGAGAACTTAGAAAGGCTCCCTTAAGATAGTAGCATTTGGGAATGAGAAAGAAGTAGCTCAAGATGGGGGGTGGCGAAAGGTATTCGAGGAGATGGGTATCAGCGGGCTGGGGGAGAACATTCAAGGCAGAAGAACTGGTATGTGCTAGGGTGTTCAGTGTAAGTGATCCACCACAGTTGAAGGGCAGCATGTTCCAAAGGCTTCAAAGACCCCTAACGAGTAGCTACTGGAGGTCAGGTCATGCTCAGGAAAGCAGCAATAATTTTGTAAAAATTCTCCCCACCCCAAAAGACATTCTATCTACTGTTTGAAAGGAGAGGCTCTGTTATCAGATAGCTTGAATTAATAATTCAATTACTTAAAGAAAAAGTTTTTCACGTAGGACTTAGAGAGACCGAAACTGTTTTGGTTCAGAGAACATTCTGAAGTATCATATAAAAACAATATGAAAAGAAAAAAAAAAAAAAAAAAACCCAACAAAATGCAACTAGGTATGTTTGGAAAATTGTTTGCTTCATTTTAGCGCTTAGAAAAACAATCATTTGTGCAGAATTCAGTCACTTCGTGGGATTTGCTCAGTTTGGCTCAACCTAAGCTTTTAACACCATAGCATGATCAGGAGTTGTTTTTTGTTTTCTTTCCTTTCATTTGCAATGGCTCCTTAGGTGGAGACACCATGCATGTGTGGATTCTCCAAATCCCACGGCAAGTAACACTCAACGACCTCCACCCCCTGAACAAAGCAACAATCTCACAGAGAATCCTGGCTACATTTCCAATATGGATAGCCCAACATTTTTCAGATGTTAGTGTTTCTATGCAGTGGCTGGAAGGTTTCCAGAATGTTCTGAAAAATTCTAGCAAAGGCCCCAGGGGAGGAGACAGGGTGGAGCTATGAATGGCCACCATCTGGGAAAATGAGTCACCGTCAGGCAGACACCCATTCCAAAACCACTGGGATACTTGTGAAAAAGATTTTTGTAATTAGGATTTTATGACTCATAAAACTATATATTCCCAAGAAGGGAATAAAATATACTTTCTCTGTTCTATTTACTATGTTGCTTACTTTTTGTTCTTTTATTTTGATTGTATTAGAATTATGTTGACTAGTTACTTTACGTACATGTTTTAAAAATCGAAAAAGTAGACAGTACACAGTGAGAAGTCTCCTTCCCACCTGTGAGCTCCCCCCCTCCCAACTCCTCCACCTGGAGGTAATCATAGAATCAACTCCTCAGGCAACAGCCTTTCCTCCAAAGGAAGCAGGCTACAGTACAAAACACAGACTTTACAACATGGATGAACGTCACAAACATTATGAAATTAGTCAATCACAAAACGACAAATATTGTACAATTTCCCTAAGATGAAACAGCTAGAACAGGTAATGTATAGAGATCAGAGTTTAACAGCAGTTACCAGGAGTGAGAGGGAGGAAGGGAGGGGGAATCACTGTTTTGGTAACACAGAGTTTTTATTTATGGGGATGGAATGTTTGTCAATGGTTCTTAGTGATGGTTGCACACAACTGATGCAATTGGTTTTATTGAATTGTACAGCTGAAAAATGTCAAATGTTGTGTTCTCTATATTTTTACAACAATAAAAAAAATGTTAAGAACAAAACAAAACATAGCTTTTGGGGTAACCTCAACATGGGTTCAAATACTACTTCTACCCACACTGTCTGACCTTGGATAAGTTAACTAATTTCCCTGAGCCTTAGTTACCTGACCTGTATAATTCTTACCAGGTGGGTATAAGGATTACAGGTATTATATGTGAAGTGTTGAAGATAGGGCCTTGACCACAGCGGGTATTAAACATTGGAAGCTCTTAATTTCTTTTTTTTTTTTTTTTCACTTTTCTTCTGACACAGATTTCCTGACCATTCTAGTCTCTAGGAATGAAATCCAATCTGAAACAGTAAAAGCTGGCTTTCTGCCTAAACAGTCTCTATTTAGGACCTGAAACTTTTAGAGTTTAAAAATTCAATTCCTATTTTATTTGGTGGAAGTAAGCATATTTGTATTGAAGCAATATGAGAATTAGTATAATAATCCTTTTTAAAAAATGTGTGGCATATGGCATGTATCTGTATCTATATATACCTGTATCTCAAAATACTTGTCATTTCAACATTCTTCACATATACAGTTAGTGACATTAATTTATGTTCATCCTGTTGTTCAACCATCACTATATCCACTCCCAAATTTTTCCATCACAACACTGCTTTCGACATCAGGAAAATGTTAAGTGGACTGTATCTAAATAAAACACCTCACCTGCTCATAGTAAATACTAAGACATCCCAGAGCATAGACCAGGAAGAATGCCTAAAAACAGACAAAGTAGAAAATGCTCATTAGAAATAATTCAACATTCTTGAGAACATATTTTATAGGTTGATTTCTGTTCATTCTAAAACATCATCAAAATGGTTACATGGTTCTAACATAAATGATTCATTCACATTTCAAGAATTAAAAAAATATATGGAAACATGAATGCTACAAACTGGTTTAAGTCAGTAAAAAAAAAAATATTTGTCTAGCTTTTCCATATTGTATGGTTTTACTTAAAAGAAAACACAGCTTAATTGAAGACTCATGTAACTATCTGTAACAAAAAGTTTTGTTCGTTGGATTTTCCTTTATAAAATGAAATAACCATTTTAAGGGCACTCTGGTGGCATAGTGCCTAAGGCACTTGACTGCTAACCAGAAGGCTGGCGGTTCAAACCCACCAGCCATTCCTTGGAAGGAAGGTTGGGCAATCTACTTCTGCAGTGATACCACCTTGGAAACCCAAGGAGGGGTTGCTATGAGTCAGATTCAACTCGACAACAGTGGGTTTTGGTTTAACCATTTTAAACTGAGAAAAGAAATATACAAAAAGAAATGTGTGAAAAGGGGGACAGTGTGGATTTTGCTTGTATCACAAAATAGGAGTCTCTCAACCACCCTTCCTGTGCAATGATTTTTTATTAAGTAAAGCCTATCTTGTCACTGGAGTCCCTGGGTACTGCAAAACGTTCACAAGCTCAGCTGCCAGCTGAAAGACTGGAGACTGAAAACCACTCAGAGGCACCTTGGGATAAAGGCCTGGGGATCTAGTTCACAAAATCAGCCAATGAAAAACCCTGTGCAGCACACAGCTCTACTCTGACATCCATGGAGTCAACATGAGTCTGAATTAACTTGACCACAACTGGTTTAGCTCTACACTGAATTCATTATATAATGACATGCTTTACTTATTTGGGGGATGCAGGAGAAATGGCAAGAAAGTTGGCTCTTGTTGAATAAAATCACACTTAAATAGAAATAAAAACAGCGCTCTGATAAAATAAAACAATGTCAAACACCAATACCACCCAAATAGTTCACTTGTATAGAGTGATTAGGATCTATGTGTATTGGTTCATAGTGTGTATGGCTAAATGGTAGTTATTCTTTAAACCGGGTTACTTTTCTTTAAGTATGAGAATTAAACGTTAGATTTATAACCAAAAAACAAACACTCTGCTTCTGCTAACACTTCTGTATCCTTCTGTGCAGTATGGAAAGAGAAACTCGCCCCCTCCCCTTGCAGGGGCCTTCTGGCTTGTTCAACTATGATACAGTGACACACTTTCAAGCTTGGTTCCTCCCTCCCAACCCCGGCACACACACAGGATAAACAGGGTTTAGGATAGCATAAGCTATACACAAGTAGAAGATTTCAAGTAGCTACAAGGTCCTGATAAGGAAACATCTTAGTGATTCCTCAGAAATTGCCCAAATCCACACCACTGTCATTTTCTGGCTGGCTAGCTGATGATTATTCTCTTTAGGGCAGTTGTTCTCAGAGTGTAGTCCAGAGAACCCTGGGGGTTCCTAATACTCTTTCAGGAGGTCTCAAGGTCAACTATTTTCATAATAATGTGATGATGTTATTTGCCTTTTTCATGCTCTTTTTCTGCAGAGGCTATAGGATGTGGGATATCACAACAGACTGAATACAGAAGCAGATGTGGGAATCCAGCTGACTTCTATAAAATCAGAAGATTTGCAAAATCTTCAAGAGATTTGCAAAAAGGAAAAACTGAATTTTTTTGTTTTGGGAAATACACTTATTTTCATAAAAATATTATTTTGTTAGCACATAGTGAATTCATTATAGTTACTTTAAATGAGCTCATAAATATTTAAGGTTCTTCTCTATTTTAATCTATAACTTGGTAAACATCAATAGAAATAATCCACATAAAATGTTCTCTGGAGTTCTCAATCGTTTTTAAGAGTAAAAGGTCCTCAGACCAAAATGTTTCAGAACCACTATGTCAGCTTTACCCAAATACAAATAGAGTTTCTTTGCTGATGAAGATAGCTGGCTGCCTGTATGCTGGCCCCCTTTACACCTCCCAGTCCTGTTCCTGGCCACACCACTTTTTTTTTTCAAAAATTTTTATTGTGATTTGGGTGAAAGTTTACAGAGCAATTTTATTTTATTTTTTTTATTGTGCTTTAGGTGCATGTTTACAGAGCAGAGTTTGTTTTACATTCAACATTTCGTGTATATTTAGTTTCACTCCCCATTTACCATCCCCAACCCTAACCTGGTCTCCCCCTTCTCTGCCCAGTAACCCCCCTGCCCCACCGGTACCCCTCACAGTTATGCACTCCTGTGTGTCCTGCATTTCCTGTGTGCGAATGATGCCCCTCTGGTGCTCCGTGGTCGACTGCTCAAAGGGATGCATCTCCATAGAGTATGTGAGTGCATCACCCTGGGTTGAGTGGTTTGCGTGTACGTTTTGTTTACTATTGGGCTGAGAGCCAGTCCCTGCAATTTCATTTTATATACAGCAATTCATACACATTTTGTTTCATGACATTAACTGCAATTTCCCACAACGTAACAGCACTCTTCCCACTTCTGCCCCATAGTTACCTCTTCCCTGTGGCCTTCCCTCCCATGCACTCCTGCCCCTGAGCGGTCTCTCTGTGCATACACTGCCTTTCTGTTCTCCCATGAGTGATCTCTCCAAGGAGTATATCTACCTGATGTACATGTTCAGCCCATACGCCCATCTTTTATTTGGCTGGAAGTCACAGGAATGAGTTCCATTCCAGACCTGAAGGGCAGCTAGGGGCCCATAGTCTCAGGAGTTTCACCAGGCTCTATCAGACCAGCAAACCTGATTTTGAGTTTTGTTCCACATTGTTCTCCTACTCTATCCAAGATCTATCCAAGATCTCCTACACAGATTCCCCTCCGAGTGGTTGACAGTGGTAGCCAGGTACCATCTAGTTCTTCTGGTCTCATGGTTACCAGTCCCTTGGACTAATTGTTTCCATGTGTCTTTGGTTTTCTTCATTCTTCTTTGCTCTAGATGAGCAGAGACCCATTGCTGCATCTAGATTGCCACTTGCAAGTTTTTAAGATCTCTGTCGCTACCCACAAAAGTTGGATGTGGAACAGTATTTTTGTGTAGTATGTTATGCCATTTGAACTTGATGTCCCCTAGGACCAGGGCCAAGAAGTCACCACAACCTTGTCCCTTCTCAGTTCTACTATATACCTGGACACTCTTACAGAACATACAAATCCACTTGTACAAACTTTGTCTGCCAACCCTATACATGGACATGGGCACACTCCCCCCTGCATAGACATACCTAATAGTTCAGCCTGTCCACCCACTTATCCACCTGTAGATCAATGTTTGCCATCACTGGCAATGCAGGACTGTATGTGCAAAAGGGTTCATCTTTGTTGTCTGTATCTCCTGTGTACCTCTCTATGTCTTACTTTTCCTCAATGCCACTGTGTTGATTACTCACATTTGGTACACTGCCCTTCTCTTCACCCAAATCAAAACTTGTCTCTACCTATCTAGCAGTGTTCCGTCCTCTCCCCTCCCACGCCTGGTAACCAACAAAGAAAATTTCCTTCCATATATAAACATTTCTTTGACTTTTCATAATAGCAGACTACTACAATATTTGTCCTTCTGTGATTGACTTATTTCACTCAGCACAATGTCCTCCAAGTTCATCCATGTTATGCAGTGTTTTGCAGATCCTACGTTATTCTTCAGGGTTGCATAGTATTCCATTGTGGCCACACCACTTCTTGCTTGGACATCTCTGGCTTCCTTCCTTCTCCTTTATGGTCCATTCTCCACAGCAGATCAAGTAATTTTCTTAGCATGTGAAGAGTATATGGCTGCCCTGGTTCGTTATTGGCAGGTGCCGCCTGAGTCACATCCAACTCACGGTGACCTTATGCATAACAGAAAAAATGCTGCCCAGTCCTGTACCATCTTCGTGATGGTTAGTATGTTTAAGCACATTGTTGTGGCTATTGTGTTAATCCATGTTATTGAGGGTCTCTCTCATTTTTTGCTGACCCTCTACTTTACCAAACATGTCTTTTTCTAGTGACTGGTCTTTCCTAATGATGCATTCAAAGTAAGCTAGCTGAAGTCTTACCATCCTCATTTCTAAGGACATGCATGTGAAAGCTGCCTTGGTTAGAATCCTCCAAATTGCTTGCCACCACCTCCAAGCTCTTGCATGACCCTACAGGGGTCTAGCTGTCTTGGCTCTGCTTCCATCCCCAGAACACACTAAGTCAATTCCATTCTTACCTTCCTCTCTGTAATTGCTCTCACCACTACCAGAATGCTCTGCTCAGACTCAAAGACCACACCACTTCTCAGAGAGGTCCTCTTTGCCCCTTCATGTGACCCCCCCATCCCAATTGTCTTCTTCATAGCATTTACTGTTGTCTGAAAATTTCTTACTTGTGTCTCTCCCACTAGAATACAAACAGTGAGAGCAGAAACTTTCCCTAGAAGGGATTAGGTACATGGTAAATGTTATGGATTGAACTGTGTCCCCCAAAACATGTATTGAAGTCCTGGCATCTCTATCTGTGAATATGATTCTGATTGGAAATAGAGGGTTTCTCTTATTATGTTAATAAGTTCATACCAGAGTTGGTGAGTCCCAAACCTAATCACTTCTGAATTATAAAAAGAGGAGAATTGAGACACACATACAGGGAGAAGACAGATAACAAAGACAGATGTATCTAGAAGTCCAGAAACACTGAAGGACCTCTCCTTAGTCTCTTGAACTATGAGAAAAAAATAAATAACTGTTCTTTAAAACCACCCACTTAGAGTGTATCTGTTATGGCAGTTCTAGGTACCTAAGACAATGAATATTCAATTCTTATGTTGAAATAATAAAGAAAAAGTTCCTCAGATCCTGACCTTGGTCTGGGCCCAAATGCTCTAGCTGCCCTAGAGCAGGTCTGTGCACACCAACTCTGTAGGCTCATTCTT